CGATGCTGCGATGTCATTGCGGCGCAAATGGAGCATCTTTAAAGGAGGAATTCACGATTAGAATGAAGGTCGAAGAAAGGGAAACTGACCTAGTTGAGGGACCCACGGACCTCCTGAGGGTGCGAACTGACGCGCAATTCGCATGGAAAAATTTGACCTCGGCGACCTATCATGCCTCAAAGCTGGCGGGTCCGGCGATCTCCGCCCACCGATCATCTGATCACTCGCCGTAGTTCAATACGTGGCGAGTGATTAGATAGCTGAGAGAGCGTAGTGTTGAAGAGGGCACAGCGATGAGAGTCGCATCAATGCTCAAATCAACGGGCAAGGAAGGGGTCCCATTTCTCGGGTTCTGGGCCGTTTCTCATGGTTCTTCCTTCTTTCGTGTACCACTCACCATCCCTAGGTTAATTTGAAATGGGTTGCTTTTTCATCGTGAATTCGTCCTTTAAATGCGAATGAAAAGAGGCCCTACAAGTTGCCTTTTTTACGGGTGTTACATGTCATACATTTATCTCATCTTAAAGGCCAGCCGAAGTAATAGCGTTTCGTAGTGATGACTGAGCTGCGGAATGAACTGAAAGTGGAAAGGAAAGCAAGAGAAATCATCGGGAACGCTAAAATTAAGGCCTTAACCTTCAGTAAGGTCGGATGTGGTACGATGGCGAGACAGGGCGATCAAAGAAGACAAAACACGCGAGAGAGCACGCTGATCTCTACATCAATCGCGGTGGGTGGGAAGCGTTGCAACGGGGGTCGATGGTTGCAGGCCCGTAAGGATTAGCGCCCTAACCGCGCAATTTTGCGACGAAGCTGGAGTGATCTATGTAGGTACGGACCCCACAATTTCCCTCGCGGTATCCTTCCTACTAGTCGGGCTAATCCCGGGCTTGCCTTCAATGTGACTAAGACATCACGTCTCATAATCTTTCTAAAAGTCAAAGCAGAGGTTGCTGAGAAGAGTGATCTATGAGTAAGAATGGAGATATTTTTTTATTTGAAAACGCAGAAAAAAGTGACAGCGTTGATCACCAAGTACTTTGACTAATGTCGCCTTATAATTTTGCTAAAATTAGCGCCAAAAACAGGGTTGAACTAATGCAGTCCATTAAAACGTACTTGCAGTCATCTTGTCTTATCTTTTGTATCAGATGTAACTGTTGGCGAACCCACCCTAATTTGTTGAGGAACATGAAGGCTGGGAACATCCAAACCAATTGCTAGTGAGAATGCTGTCATAACAACAATGGCGATGACAACTCCAAAGTCGCTGAGGGCGTTGCGAAACTAAAAAAAAAAAGAAAGAAAATATCAGGTTCTCTGACAGGAAGTCAAGTGGTACGAATGGGTTCGGATGATAACTCACGGTAGATCCAAAAAACCTTGAGTGTCGAAAATTATTAAGACCATAAGCTAAGGCAAATGTTCCGAATGTGAGCAGTACTGACAGCATGTAAACGTCTGGTTTGAAGTGACATTGCAATCCAATGGCCTCGCCACCTCGAGCCTCGCACTCTGAACAAGTATCTTCTACACGATCTGTACGTGTACGGATTATGCGTACAAATTCGTTTGCTGTCTGAACTTTTGGCTATCAAATTATACGACTGCATTGAGTAAAGGAATGACAAACCTTCACAGGGTACCTCGATTTAGTCACCATGACGCCTTAATCGTGTGGTCATCTTAAAGCGAGAGATTGCGATAGGATTCTGTTGTGCTCATAGTGGAAGTGAAGATGCTGAATAATGCCCTAGTAGCGAAAAAAGCAAAGAAATCCGTCAAAAACGCGCAAAATGGGACCACTTCCTCTGCCCGTTGACCTCCGATAATGGACGAGTTGGCAACCAACTAAGAGGTCGTCGGCACTCGTTAAACCATAGCTGCCATCATACCACCAGAGATCATACCTTGATTGATATAGCATTCCATGAGAAAAAAATTGGATACGCGCTCGAAGTGGCATACCTTATCAGAATGATAATCGAACAGCGATCTGCTGAGGGGCGGAGCACAGGCGGAGGCGGAGCTCAGAAAGGATTGGCAGCCCCAGGGCGCTGCAACGAGCGCACCTTTAGTCACAAAAAGGCCACATCTCGATTCCTTTGGGCTCTAGCTACTGCTTGAAGTGCTGCTCGTTCTTCCATGCTGCACAGAAATTTTATCGTAATTTCTCGCTTTAAGCTGAACAAGGCGCGGATGCGATACTTACTTCATTAGCTTGAAGGCAAGGCACAGGCTCAACTTCACTGACTAAGTTTCTCTCGTGGCTAGAGGTGGAAGATGGGCAACTGCGAAGGTCGCGCCACCTTCGCACCCCGAAACGCGTCACTAAGGCGCTGGGCGCTAAGGACTGATCAAACCCCACCAAAACTACCAGGTTCCGTCCAGCGTTCGATATGTTATCTGCGCCCAATACTGGCCTGCTATACTCCCTCAAACGGAACTTCTCCAACTTTCCGCGGCCTGCTTTACTCACTAGTCCGTATTCTCTCATTTTCACGAATTTTTTGACCCTTTTCTCCACGTTCGGATCGTCCATTTTGCCTCACTACTCCATAGAGTAGTGGGACTACTATATAAATTGGTCTTGGACCTTCTATTCAAACTTCATTCAGATGGAGAATTGTTTAG